ACATCAACTTATTTTTCACAGGCTGCTCTATGTACACAAACCTCTAGCTGTCACCACCTGCCCAAGGAGTAACAATAAAAATATTAACATCAAGAAACGGCAGACTTTCAGGCTAACCTGCCCATATTTAGAGATTAGAGACCAGACAGGACAATCCTATCAGGAGACAGAATGAATCTTACAGAGGCTGGGTTTCCAAAAGTGCAAGAAGACTGATTGGGGCATTGATGTATTGAATGCAAAATTGCCTATCCATTCAGATTTGTACCTAGTGTGTGTAATTCTGAGTTAAGTGCACAGACACCCTTCTAGGGAGTGCTCCTTGACTCTGAGTAAACTCCGAATCCATTGCTCAAAGGGCCCTCCAACCCGGTCGGCGTGTGTCCTGGAATCTGCAAGGTTAACAAGTAAACAACATTGCTGTTGACATTTTTAACAACAAAAGCAACACCAGTCCAGGAAACTCAAGCCACGAAAAACCCCCTCGTATAAACAGATGCAGGAATGATCAACACTTTTCCTGCTCCACAGGCACATAAAACAACCAGATTTTCAAACCCAGAGTGGGCCAGACAGGATGACACTGTGAGAATGATTGAGCCCCGTAGTTCCCACCACTACAACAGGAGAAGTGAGAAGAGACCTCGGGAAGATGCAGATGTGACAGAGGGAATATTAACCAAAGGAGACAGAATAGATCTGAGGGTAGTTTGCTTCCACTGAGAACCCAGTAACTGTTCAGGCAATGCCATATATTTTTGCTACACAAGACCAATACGGGCCACCTGAGCTAGGAGATGAAGCAGCTTAAAAAGTTTGTAATTTTCCTCTAATGGGTAAGAACTCTGTCACAGCTGGACTTCTAACTACATCTTTTCATAAACTAAACCATAACAATAAACTGAAGTACAGACTGTGCGTTATGCAAAACTATTCCCATCTGATCACCTGTCAGGAAATTTTAAGAAATAATTCTGCATGTGGAATATTAAACTGGCCATTTTGGACAGACACAGCATCCTTCTTATTTTAGCGATGTGTAAATGTAACACTTAAATATTTAAAATACGGAACTTGTGCAACAATTTCAAATTAAGAGATAAATTTTTACAGAACATGTGAGTGTTCAACTGTGCAAAATTACCTTTGTATCAGCAATAAAACAGAATATAATAAAATAGCAATGGGAAGCTATCTTCATAATTGATCACTTTTCTATGACTTCCTGGAGCACTAACATCAATTATGGTTGTATGTCAAAACAATGTTGGCACACTGCCAGTGAAGATTCAGGTCAGGGCCACTGATTTATTCATTTATTCCTTTTTGGAAATCGGTGAATGGCACACTGAACTTTTGGTTGTTAAACACAAGTACTATAAGATGAAGTATAATGAATTAAAAGCCAGCATGATGTTGTACATGTAACTAAAAAGGAAAATGCATGTATTTTAACTTCCTTCATTTTGGGTCTGCAGTCAGCCACCTGTAAGTATAGTATTGACTGGCAGCTGTTAGTAGAGTCTATCTCCTAAGAAATAGGTGATTTCTAATTATCAAGGTATGATACAAGGTATGTACTCGTTCAAAGGCCTTTATTTTGATTTCAGTCTCACATATGTAATCAGTTTTATCAAGGAACCATTCAAAAGTATGATGTCGTCGATAAAAATTGACATGGCTTTCAGTATTTTATGGCATAAATAACACTTCTTTTCCTCAGCTACCTGATAAGGCTTTTCCGGTTACAGCAGATTGGGTGCTTCTTGCTGTGTAATACATCGTTGCATATGAAAAACCCCTATCAAAACAGGATATCCAAGGCAATCATTTATCTTATGAACATGAAAACATGGTACATATTCCTAAGTAAAAAGAATGGCCTTAGATGCCAGTGCTGGCTTAGAGCCTTGCATCAGCGAGCCTGACCCTCATATAAACAACAGTCCATTGGAAGGCTGTTTATTATGGATTTATTAGAAACCTTGTCAATAACTTATTTGTGCTTTTGATAATTCTGTATTCAGTTGCCAGGAGACTTGTGCTCCTGACGAGATAAAATGAACAGGAAATCCTCTATAGCCTTGTCACTTTTTTCACTAGTAAATAAAAATCCAAACAACCATTATAAAATACGAGCTACTGTAAACAGAAGAGAGGAAAAAAAGACAAGCGTTGCATATTTTAAATAAAGCAACATACAGCCCTTTTTGCCCTCTCCAATTATAAGATGATAAAAGATCACCTTTATAAAGCAAAATGACCGGATTTTGTGGAACGTGGCTGTTTTGGCTCCAAGGTATTTGTAGCGTTATAGTATCAGAGCCAGGATACAGCTGCCTTGTGACTAAGACGTCGTTCACTGAATAAGTGCTATCCAATCCCTCAACGTCACCAGACATCTGTTTCCTGTTTTCATTCTTTCTTTCACTGTTATCATTTTATCCAAGTTACCCTTTCACCTGAAAACCATTTAGAAACCTACAGAAACCAGCGCGTGCACGCGTGTGTATATCAAAGAAGTTGATTTAGAAAAAAAAAATGGCCAAGAGCAATTTGTTCATTTTAATACAAAGAGCAGGAGTGGAAACAAAGTTGCCCCCCCCCCCCTTCTCCTCCCCAAAATACACAATGATACATAAACACTTTTGTCTTCTGGTCTTCACTAATATGACTAACTTCCTTCTTTGCTTCCAGTTAAGTAGCTTTCCTGTTGAGTACCACCACCTCCACAAAATACAATTGTGAATTGATTCATAAAAACAGAAACATTATGGCACAAATAAGGGAAGGCAATAAATACTCTTCCCCCCAACCAACTCCCTCCCAAATAGAGGCAGTAGTATTGTAATAACAAAAAGAAAAAAAAAAGTAAAAAAAAAAATATTACTTGTCATTTAAGGTTCCAAACCAACAATCATCAGGATGCAGAACAGGATACATCTAAAGTGAGAAAGTTATTTACTTCACATTCAAGTTAACACTAGCTATACTTTTTTTGGCACACAGTATTATTCTCAATGTGCCAAAAAAGTGTTGTGCACCTTATAAAATATGAATGTTAATGCCACTAAGACCAAATTCCTGCTATTCACAATCCAATTTTATATTGGTGTTGTTTTGCTGTTTCACCTATACTTAAACCACAAGTCAGGAGAATAACCATTACTGATAGCATCTAACACATATTAACAACAAACAATAGAAGCTAAAGCATAAGTTGTCAAAAATTAGTGACTCTCCATTGTTAAGCTCTGGATTTCAGATTCTTTAAACAGCATGAGAATAGAAAACTTGTTTTATTTTGTTTTGTGATTACAGATGCTCATATTAATTGACAAGGCAGTTTGTTGAGTGAAGCAAAAATCTGGGCTGGTTGACAAACACCAACAAAATTCATCCACTTCTTGGTATTTTCTGAAAGAAAAAGAAGATCTTTTAAATTTTTTTTTTTCTTACCCCCTCCAACGTGGAGGCACACCAGTGAAATACAGGTGTTATACAGGAGAAACATGAGATTCTGGCACTCAGAGGGCTTTCCCTGGGAGATGGGATGGTTTGGCAGCTACAGAAAACCTTAAGTAGCATTTCCCAAGGCACATGAAAATTGGAAAGCAAGACTTCTTCTTGTGTTCTGGTCTTCCGCACCATTTCCTGCATCCTATTAACAAAATTATCCTTATTTTAAAGCCAAATTCAGCTTCCATTAAAGTTCATGTAATTATGAAGCATCTCATTAACTTCTGAGGAGTCAGAGCAAGTTCTGATAGATTAACTTAAGTCTCCTCTCTCATCTTCCAATTTACTGCTTGGTTCACATCCTGGTTTCAGCTGGGATAGAGTTAATTTTCTTTTTAGTAGCTGGTACAGTGTATTTTGGATTTAGTGCAAGAATAATGTTGATAACACACTGATGTTTTAGGATAAGCGCTACTTAGCAACAATTAAGTTGAGGATTTTTCAGTTTCCCATGCTCTGCCAGCAGGCAGGTGTACAAGAAGCCGGGAGGGAGCACAGCCAGGACAGCTGACCCAAACTAGCCAAAGGGATATTCCATACCATAAAACTTCATGCCCAGTATATAAACGGGGGAGTTGGCCAGGGGGGCAGATCATTGCTCAGGTATCAGTCAGTAGGTGGTGAGCAACTGCACTGTACATGACTTGGTTTTTTCTTTATTTTATTTTATTCATTACAATTATTCTATTTTATTATTGTTACTAATATATTTTTTTTACTTAGTTATTAAATCATTCTTATCTCAACCCACAAGTTTCACTTTTTTTCCAGTTCTCCTCCCCATCCTAGTGGGAGGGAAGGGAGTAAGCGAGCAGCTGTATGGTGCCTAGCTGCTGGCTGGGCTTAAACCACGACAGTTCCTCATCCCAAATGCCCAATCCTAAGCTTCCTAGAATGAAACCTAGAATATTCTTGCACAGTAATAGTATAGTATTCTGGAGAGATTGATGAAACAAACATTTGCTGGAAAATATTTTTCAAGATTGTATCAAGTTGGTGCGATTAAAACACTGTTTCCCATAAAAATAATTTCTTCATAACTTTTCACAACATCTAAATTCATTTGTCCACTGTCATATATGCAATCTGTGATCAAGCTGAAAACTGAATCCAATTGCGTACTTTGTCCATCGCACCCCCATCCTTCACAATCTACTGTCACTGTCTAATATTCTTTGACTCTTGATTCTGCTATGCATTTTTATTAATGACATCACATTTGTGTCTGGACAAGTTTTAAATTCTGTTTGAAAAATAAAAGCCATTGATTTGTCAGGCATTGGAACAGGCTGCCCGGGGAAGTGATGGAGTCACCGTCCCTGGAGATGTTCAAAAAACGTGTAGACATGGCACTTCAGGACATGGTTTAGTGGGCATGGTGGTGTTGGGTTGGCAGTTGGACTCAATCATCTTAGAGGTCCCTTCCAACCTAAACAATTCTATGATTCCATGATTAAGATAGCTATCTTTTTTTTTTTTTCCTCCTAAATTTAGAAAGTTCTTTTAAACTGCACACCCTGTCTTTCTCAAATCCATCTGAAGGAATAAGTCAAAAATCAAGACCTCTCAAGCTCTAGCGCTATTGATGGCAATGGCAAAATCCAAAATATTGCTATGGAATTGAAAAGGTTAATAAATTCCTCTGTACTTTGTTGTTTCTGGTCATTCTTAATTTTCCCCATCTAAAAATAGATGGTCTATCTCTTAGAGGTATTCAAGATACCATTTTCTAAAACATAATGTTATGTAATATGATTGTAAAACTAATACTAGTTTTGTACTGCCACATTTCTGATTTTAAATTTGGGGAGAGAGGGTAATATAAACTACTTATTTGGTCAAGTTATTCTTTGGAATCATCCTCTGAAATAAATGCAACACTGAAACATTTTGTCTGAAAAAATAACTGGCAAATCATTGCAAGAGAAAGTGCCCAAACACACTCTTTATGTCAGACTCTACACTGTTTCCAAATATTAAGATTTTTCATACACTGTATTATGACAATAAAGAAGTTGAGAGCTACACCAGAAGATTACATAAACAAAAATTTATGTTTTGTCTAGTGTAACAGGAGTCTTAAAAAAAACAAACACCACTTCGTATCCATTATTTCATACCCAGATGTTTCCTGTACACCTGCAGTTGTCTCCAGTCCTGAATTCATGAGCTATAGTATTTTAACAGCCTCTCATCAGTTGGTTTTAGAATTTTCTTGTCTGCCATGTTTACGATCCATCCTGGAGCAAGACCAAAAAATATCTGTCGAGGATCCTTGCGTGCACTTAACATTTTGAAGAGCTCATCCTTCGTTATGTCTGGTAAGACATAGCCGTATTTCTTGGCAAGTTCAAGTCTGGCTTCCGCAACCTTAGATGGATCTGCCAGGTAACCACGATTCCTGGCATCTGTGTAGTAACGGACTAGATCTTCTGGTGGAAGCATTCGCTTTGGAATAGGCTGGCCACGCAGAAAAAATACTACTGGCTTACATAAAATTTCTGTGGGTGAACATGAAAGAAAATTAGATACTATGCTTTGTAATACATATTTAAAGACATTAAATGACACCTTCTTATTTAGTATTTTGTGCTAAATAGATTATTATATTCTTATTAAAAAGCATCAAGCAAAAACCCAAGCCTTAAGAATAATCTTGTTGAGAATGAGATAGTGGTTTACAAGTTGCACTTAACCAAACAAACAACTCTGTTTTCACTGATATTTATAGTGACAATCTGGATGAATCATTACTTCTAATATATTTAGAATGCCCACTTTGGAAAGACACAATAACTAAGCTAGATGCCACCATTTATTTAAAGGACTGACTTCCAGGTTAGAAGCAATGCATTTGCACGGCTGTTTACACAGTGTACCAACAAATGTCAAATTTAGTGCTTCTGTAAGTATTTTAAATAAAGAATCAATGGCACATGCACCTATTTAATCATTGTGAGACTATCCTCTCCTCCTCAAGTTTTACTGAATTTGGCAAATTACATTCCAGATCCTTTTAACCTTAATATTTTGATTATTTTCTGGACTGGAAAAAACAAAATTGTATCACTCCAGGGTAACATATTTTGCACACTAAAAATGTCTATTCCTCTTGTTCTCAGCCTCATTCATACATGAAAGCTCCATTATTGTCAATAAAAACTGCATGAATGAATATTAGGCAGGATGCAGCCTCAAGCAAAGCAAAGCCTCGTTCTTCAGTGAAAGTGTTCTGAAAACAATAGTCATTTTGACTGGAATGATTCTGAGCTTGTAACTTAGTTATTTCCTCACTTTAACTGAAAAAGTATTTTAAATTAAAAATATAAACATCCACAGTGGTTTTTAAATCTAATTTTTTTCCTGAATTTTCTTAGTGTTATTAAACACATGAGAAAGTTAGAAGACAAAAATTCAAAGAAACAACCTTTTATTAGTTCCTCTGTTTACAAAGCTACTTGGATTTCTTTAACTGGCTGATTGGTAAATGACTACTAACACTGGTAGGGCTAAACAGGTGAATGGTAAAAAAAAAGCAAAACTGAGGATGCATTACAGTTCAACATTTGTATAACAACGCATTGTTGAAGCTTTTAGAATAGAAGTGGATTATTTTCCAGTAAGAACTATGTTTGAAACTATGATTTGGATTGTTTAATCTTCACACATTAAAAAAAAAAAAAAAAAAAGGCAGAAATGAAAAGAAGTTCTTACCCAAACTCCTTGGATCGTAGAACGATGTTGTTACAACACCTCCATTTTTTTCTACGGCTGCAATTGCTAATTCAGATGCCCACTGCACTTCAATATTTACTTTTGCTGAAAAAATATCAGCACCCTGTACATTTCAACACATATTAGAGTAACATTAAAATGAGTATTTTTGGACAAAAATTCATTCTTCTCTGCAAAGTTGTGAGAAACATTAAATCCTGCAAAACATTATTATTTGTCTGTTCCCTGCACCAAGACAGGTAACCAAATTGCTCTAACTCAGTCACCTGGGTCAAATGAAAAAAACCCTCTGCCTTTCCAAAATATTCATACATTTCTTTCACTACTTTAGAGTCTTCTGTTTTAAAATACTAGTTCGACCTCTTGTTATGTGCTCCTTAACTATCATTTTTGTAGTCCCTCAGGTCTTAAAACATCATCCTGGATTTTTTTTGCGAACACACAGTGCCCTCTAGTGGATTTATTATCACAAAAATTCCGCAGCAAACTAATTTAGAGAAGCAAAGAAGCTTCCAAAACATGGGAAGGACAATCTGACAACCTGGTATGGAAAAACTGAATACCCAAGGCTTCATCCTGCCTGAAGTAAAAAGTGTCTCGTATGCATACCTCCTCCACCAGCTGGACACCATAATCCCTTTTGAGAGGTTGCACTGTTACACCTCTGGCATTAGTGAGCTGTGTTAAGTCAATTGGTTGCATGGGATCAACTCTGCCCAAATCAATCAGGTACTGGAGCCTCTGAAGACTGAGGGGTTGATACTGACGCCTGCGGCTGGGGAGAGGAAAACAAAAAAAAACCCAAACAAAATAATGAGACATTTACAAAATTGAAGCTTTAATAGGAACTGGTCAACTGAGATTCACCACACGGTATTCTATTTTCTACCTACTCCTAGAACTACCAAGTAAACATTTAAAACACACCTATCCATAAACAAAAACTTTAATTTAATGCAAATACAAGCCCTAGTTACAGCCCCCAAGACTCCATTGTGCCTTCAGCTTTGCTCACACATCCCCACCTCCGATATGACATTAATCATTTTGCTGTTGCTGAGCTCAATTTACTCCAGAATACCTCTCTACCTGCTGACTGGTTTAAGGAAGCAAGAAAGATGAAGAAATTAAAGTGTCAGCATTTCTTGGTAAGTCAACAGGATTCTAAAGAGCTACCATCTTCAAAGGGAATCCAGTTTGGTAGCTTCACTGATACATTCAGAAAATTTGACAAAAAAAAACCAGAGTCAAAACCAAATATACACTCTCCCCCAAAAATTTAGTCAAAGGCTATCAGCCAAATGCTGTATGTGCTCCTGCATAGCTTGCTTCTATCCAACAAGATTTTTTAGTCCATTATCACTGTACCTGACATCTCTCAAGTACTGAATGGAATCTTCCTCAAAAGATCACCAAGGAAGAGAAATATTGAGAAAATATGCATTAAACCATATCCCCAAAGGAAGTTGGAATATTTTGTCAATAGCCATCAGCTTCCGCAGAATCTACTTTTGTGTTTTATGAAATTCTAACTTTACTACACAAACCAATCCTTCGAACAGTTTTCCCAATCCCAGTGTCTATGCCTACTGCATACCATTTATGCTGATGCTCAAAACTGTCTCATACAATCAGTGTGACCACTGCTAGAGGAAATTTGTGAGTGGTAGCAGAAAAACTGAGAAGAAGCTTGTCTCTGTTACTGGCAAGCTAACTAAGACAGACAAGCAACAGAATTTGCACTGTCAGACAGTTCCTAAAAGAGCAAAAGTGCTAGAAGTGGAGGAACACAACTGCAGAAAGAAGACTGAGGTGAAGATAAACAGGCAGAGACGTTGTCCAGCATGCTGCCATCCTGCCACAATAGCATCTTTCAAGTGCACTTACAATATTCACTAGAAAAACACTTACAATAGCCTGACATTGAAATTTTGCAAGCAACATTGAAAAGAAATTACAGAGCACTTTCTTTGTTTCCACATGCTGTCAGATGTGGTTAAAAAAAAGCAAGACCCTGTTAATTTCTTGTCACTGCAGAAGCTTGGATTTTTGCAGTTGGTTATTCATGAACTCGTGACCATTGTTAGCATAAGAAGCTCAGTGTCTGCATTCTGCAGCATTTCCTTTGTAGGACTGCAGATCTACACTCTGTCTTCAGCTATCAAAAGTGCTTCTCATTTACTCTTTTAATAACTTAAGCAAACAGGAGAAAATGACAGTACTTGGAAACAGAGTTTGAATCACACTTCAAAACTAGTAAGACTCACAGAGAAAACCTTTAATAACCAGGACAGGTCTGTAAGTTATACTGCATGCATAAAGAATGGAAATATAGAAAAGCACAGCTATTTGATGAAGTTATATCAGCAAATGAAACATGAAATCAAACTGCAAGTTTAACAATTCACAAAAAAATACACATTAGTCTTTTCATTCTTGAACAGTCTGCTAGGGGTGGCATGTTTTTATTACTACTGCGTATAAGAGTATTGCATGGGTACAGAAGTTTTCATAACCACACCTAAAAGCAACAAAATGGTTAGTGACCCAGGTAACATACATGCTATCTTAGGAAACAAAACCAGCTTTAAACAACAAAAAATTTTTAAACATCAAAATTTTGTAATTGACAGTGTAAGTGAAGGAAATGAAGAAAACACTGGCATACAGCTCTCCAGCTAAGAACAGTGACTGGAGAAAAGACATGTTAGAAGAATAATTTTAAACATTAAAAAGCTGGAAGATGGACATGGCACAAACAAGCACAATGTGAAAACAGGACGGAAGTGTCAAACAAGGCAGAATGCGTGAGGAGAACAATGGTGAAAGATGACTTAATGGCCTCATCCAGCAGATTTGCTATCAAAGAGCCTGTTAAGATCCTAGGTGGAACAGATGGAGTACAGACAGACAAAGACCCCAGTGTTGCAGGGCTAAAAAAGGCTGAGTAATGAAGAAAAGCAGAATTGTTTGGCTAGCAGCAGATCAGAACTTAAGGTGAATAAAGCAAAGAGAAATAACAAAGCAAGGCTTTGGACTACATTTCCATGCCCAACATCCTCACTCAAGTCAATGGGACTGTTCCCAGTCAGTTCACTAAGTTACCTGCTGCACAGACAGGCAGAAAGAAACAAGCATATATGAAGGAGTGGTTTCAGAGGTAAAAGGCACTCAGCTGTAGGAGGAAGGGTAGCCTGCTACATATGAGGAATTATGCAAAGAAAAGGGCAAATAAGCAAAGCTGTAAAACAACAGAAAATAAGTGATTAAAAAAATAATCTCACAAAAAATTGAACATTCTGTTGGTAAGGAAGCTAACAGTCTGAGAGGAATCTCTCATTTTCAGTTAGGCCTGGTTTAGCATATTAGATTTTGCCTTCAGGAGGAAGATCCAAGAAAAGCAGACAATGATTAATTTCTGAGTAAATGTGAAGAAACTTACCTATGTCCCTCATTAAACCCATATTTTGGTATGGCCAAGTAAAATGGAGTTTGACCACCCTCAAAGCCTAATCGGGGGCGATTTCCTCTTTGTCTTTCTCCTTTGTGACCTCGACCACACTTCCTACCTCCATATCTTCCACGGCCACGTCTTCTCTCCTTGAAAACAATCAATGATACATTTAGTCAACTACTTTGCAAATAAATATCTATAAAACGTAAGATTTCAGAGATATAAACAACTGAGCAAAATGCTGATTCTGAAGGAAAAATTAAGAGATAGCTGTTTTCTACAGGGAAAAATAGTCAGAAAAGCAGTTAATGTGATTTTTGCAGACCACAGCTCTAGGCAGGCACCACAAAGAGTCTGAAAGTTTACATGAACACATATTGTGATAAAATGAATACTAGTATTTAATCCTACCTCTTATAACCTGCACTCTCCAAGTTAAGAGAATTTTCCTGAATTTACTATTGATATTTTCTCCTATTTCACAAGCAAGTTGCTCAGTGCTCAGAAGTTTCCGAACACTGACAATGAAAAAAGAACTTTAAAAAAAAAAAAAAAAAAAATCAATTGTACTTCAAGGGGCAGGGAAACAGACTGTATATGCTATGCACAAATATAATTCTTTTCACGGACTCAGACTTTCCAAAGAGTCTGCAACTGTTGCCATTTCTAGTGACTACAAATCAAAAAGAGAAAATTGCATTTTAAACCTTTATTATTTTTTAAATTAAGACTGTGATACTAAGCTATTAGTTCCCTGAGCACTTTGAAGTAGCACTGCAGCCATAAGTAGCAGTTCAGCAATCTTCTTGCACTCACCTCCTATTTGTGCCAGCAGAAACACTTGCACAGCCAAATGGTGAATGGGATCAAAGAGATAAGCAAAGGTAAAACCTTTTTTTTTTTAAAAAAATTAAAATCCAGGTCAGTTGCACCCTTCAGTACAATTCATGAGTATGCAAGTATCTATAGGATTACAAAACAGGCAGTAACCAAGGGACCAAATGAGCAGCTGGGAGCGACCACTATTAAATGAAGCAGTGCCAGCTCACTCTGACCTAACTAATCAAGTTTTCTGTGTAAGGTGACTTCATTTAATTCACGTACTAAAAAATGTGCAGCACTAAGGCTCATTTTGATTTCTTACACTTTGTCAGGGATAAGATAGAGCCAGGAGCTTCAGAATCCTTGCCACCGTGCTGCACGTGGTAGAGTTCACTGTTCAGCTCCAAGAGGCACAATCACATCTGTGCATCACTTTGATGGATCCATTTGATCTTACAAAGTTTTTCCCATTGAACCTAACATTCACTGGAGTGTAAACGCATGTGGAAAGAGCAATGTCATGCTGCTAACTAGTCTCATATCTGTACAACACAATTCACACATTTGCTATTCTCCACTGTGTTCCTCAACATGAATCAGTCAGGCTGGGAGACACATAAAGCAACACATTCTAAACAGTATTTGTACTATAAGCTAACTTTGGTTAAATCACAGCATAGTCACTGTTGGATCAATAATAATGTAAATAATTCATTATTAAAGAGACTACAATAAGCCCCTTCAATTTCTCATTTTTTGTATTCAACAGTCAGAGAGCCAAACTTCAAGCACCCCTAATCCTACAAACCACTCTACGCAGTTAGGACTGCAGCAAGGAGTATTGAGTAAAACTCAGGTCTGAAAACTGTTCATTACATCATGGTACTTGATTATTAGCCTAACACAACAAAGACATAAACTAGGATGTTTTAGGCTCTTTATTGTCTCTGTAAGTTTTCCAAAGTTGTGGAGCACTTAACATGTACTGAAATATTAATAGAAAAGTCAGTACGGACATGCATGAGAAAAAAATGCATTAATTTGAAATATCATCTGACCTAAGATGCACAGTTTACCTGTATTAATACTAAATAGTATAGAGTTCAAGTGCAGTTTTGCGCTGGACTAGACATCCCTGCCACCAGAGGAAGCTGACTTGTCCCCAGCCCACATGCTATGCTTCTTTACTCACAGCACCTCTTGTGCTGACACAAGCAGTTGTGTGGCTCTGTATTGGACAGGTCAGGGAATTAAACTAGATGAAAACTAATTTTTGTCACTAGTTTTCAACTGGTTTAGTTCCCTGCTCTGGCTCACCACACAACCTCTTGCAGCACTACAAAATACAAAGCGGGTGTGAGCACCTGGAGGTAGATGGAGGGCGCAGCTGACCCACCCACCCTTTCTGGCAGTTGCCCATACACACACTAGATTACACGGTGACTTTGGTTGACACACGTACACTGACAGTATCTGGTCACAACTGGAATCTAATCAGTACACTGACCAGATTTTAGACTGTCAGAAGAGCCAATCAAAACTTTTTTTTTTTTGCTGCAACTTCTGTTTGTGAAGTCAAATGCTCTTAAATCTGCTTATCTAAGAACTTCATTAATCACAGAATAAGGCTGTCAGACACCGAAGAAACAGAGCCGAGGTCACTTGCACAAACTCTACCTGAAGGCAAACAGTTAGCAGTAACATGGGGAAAAGAATGCTCATTTCCTAGATGGAGTTGCAAGTTACTTGCTAAAGACCCAGTGAACATACAAAATCCCTCTACTTTCAAGATTTAAAAAAAAAAAAAGTGTTTTCCTAAACCCAACAGCTACCTTGAAAAACAAAAAGTGCTGAGACCAAACACTATGAGGAAAGCATCAGTTCTAGTAAACCTCAAGTTCAGACTATCTCACAACTTCTGGATGCTAAGCCTGAAAATAGCCGGATTAGTTTGAAAAAGCTTAAGAATCACCACTCCAGTCCTGTACAGGGCTGCTTCTTCCAGTTCTGCTTGACCCTGGCCAAGCTGGGTGTACACAGCTCCAAGTGAAGTAACTTTACAGGGGAACCCCAAGAGCTGCAGGGGGGAAGAATTTCCATTCTCTTGTCTTGTCACAGGTTTACGGGATTACAACTACGCAGCACTCACCAGCTCTGTAGGCATCTCTGAGGAGCCTTAAGCACTGACAGGGAAGTGCTGCTTGGTGCTCCCTGCCGATTCTCTATTCCTATGACTTTAGCCCTTGAACCTCATCCCCCTGTTCACTGATATTTCCCCTAAACCAGATGGGTTTCATCCTGGTTTCTTTTCTTTACTCCTCTATCACTCTACAAGGAGACAGGGAAGAGAACGTTTAGTTTTGTTCTTGAGAAAGCAGTAGTAACAGGAATCGTGGGCCGGCATCACATTCCTTTTCTTTTTAAGCCTTTTAATCTTCCCTTTTCAAGTGTATTACTCTATCCCAGAAACAGTTGGTATTCCATACTTTTTTACTGTTTCCCTCTGCCCCCCAATGATGGCATTCTGAGGGTTAGCTAGGGCCACTCAGCCCTTTCTCTGTGGGGATGGCTACTCACACCGGTTACGAGACACACAAAAGACAAGAGAGCCAACACGCACAGCACTGCCACCCATTCCTCAGCCTTCCCATGCCTATTTTGGCCAGGCCGCTCTCCCGGGCCTGCCGCAGCCTCCCCAAAGGGCTTCTGACAGCCCCCGAGGCAGCCGCCACCAGGGCCGGGCGTGCCCGCTGCCGAGGCACAGTCCTGCCGCCGGAGAGAAAGCATGCCCGCGACCCACCCGACAAACTGTGCAGGCACTCACCGGCTTTTTGGAGCCTGGGCTGGGCCTTAGGTTGGCCAGACTGACCCTGGGCAGCGACCGCAGCAGCTCCAGAGCCTTGCTCCGGCCATTCCCGCTCATGTCCGCTCACCTCCCAAGGGCGGCAGCGACCGCCCGCCCGGGCGAGCTGCTTTACGGCAGAACCGTAAACCGCACCTCCCGCGCCTTCCCAACAGTGTCGCGCAGCCGCCGCCGCCGCCGCCGGCGGGGGTCGGTCCCAAAGGACATTTCGTTTTCCATTATTCACACAGATCTCAGCCGAAGTGTTTTAAAGCCAAGCCTTTCAAGCCATCAGGCTGCGTCTAAAACCGGCTGACTGACGGCGCGCAGAACACCGATCTAACGAGAGTGCAGCGCCCTGCGCCCATCCAAAAAGTTGGAAGGCGGGAACGGGCTGGGAACGTGCCTTACCGTTCGAGGCTTCCCTTGCGCTGCTGCAGTGCTTGATCACCTTTACTGCTTTAACCTTAAAAAGTGGACCTACTGGAAAACCAGACAGCCGTGGGAAGGTAGTTAGTTAGTTAGTTAGTTACCCTCTGGCGCAGGCTTACCGGAGCGAAGGACGGAGCGGGGGAAGCTGCCGCTGAGAAGTTGCAGGGCGGGAAGGCCGGTTCCCGCTGTGACCGTCAGCCGGTACGCCTCAGCGTCATACCCTGCTTTTGGTCCCCAAAATCCTGTTTGACCAAAACGTCCTTCCATGTTGAATGTCTGCTTCAGATTACCTCCCAGAGAAAAGGCCCTGCAAGAGCTCGGCCAGTTCTGAGAGTAAATAGGGGTGAAATGGAAACCATGTTGCAGCAATCTGTGAGTTTCAGTATGAAATCTGTATTGCTTCTTACCCCCCTCAAAAAAAAAAATCAATAAAAATTACAATGTAACAATGCAGGTGAAATGGTGGTATGGACAACTGATACCGAAAGGTCGGTCGAAGAAACTCTCTAAGACTCGTTTTGGAGTTTAGAAAGCAGGCATTCTTTATTGCAGCGCTGGATGCACGGGGGATAGTTCAACCTAGCGTGCATGCCACAGCTTTAGCACTAGCAGGTTATATAGAATAACTAATTGCATATTAATCAGATTAGTATACATGTACATAAAAATAATTGCAACTGATTATCTTAGTACTGCCTACATCCGATCATGCACAATGAAGGATCCATTTGAGTCGAAGGGCTGCTTTTGCGACCACCGACCCATTTGAAGTTCTTGTTGGCTGTCCTTGAAGTCTTTATTCCTGTCCTTGTTCTTTGATCTTGAAGCTTAACGCAGCTTCAATCACGTGTGGTCAGTTTCAACATTGTTCTCATCTAGCGTACAGGAACATCTAGTCATAAGAGCAAAGAACTGCAAAACTTATGAGTAACTACCTCTACTAGTTAATTGCTTGGCTATACTTTTGTCTATTGTTTCAATCATAGTGTTAGTATAAGATTTCTAATAATTATTTACCAACTCTCACTTTTACAGTCACCTAGCAGCAAACCAGTTTCCACAGCTGGTACAAAATATCAAAACCGTCAAAATATTTAGACATACCATACAGAATGTATGGAAATATGCTATCACAACCATCTTATCAAAGTCCATTTCAGCCACTATGATAGGGAAAAATACATCGTTTAGAGCACGCTTTGCCTGGTAAAGCTCTCACTACTTTAAGCAGAACCTTGAAATTAGGTAGAAAACTATCACTCATATCTCACTGTAAAGAGACAGCCAACTTACAAGTCTTCGAAACATTCGTAATTCAGACGTTTTCGGCAATCCCTTCAGGATTTCAGCAGCTCAGTCCCTTGAACGTTTGTCTGTAACCGGCAGGCTGCCCCATGCCCGCACGGGCCATCCCACTGCTGCCTGACTCGCCTCTGCCCAATCCACGCAGAGCTCGTGTTTCTCCCGTGACCCTCAGCCATGCTAGCAGCAACCGGGAATTCAGGTTAAGATCATTCCAGCTGTACTGACCAAAAGATTAGAAGCTTGGTCTAATTATGAGGAGACGACTGATGTCCTTGGCTGGAGGTTCATCAGCAGGCCGCCTCATGGAAGTGACATTTACGTGGTAAATAGCATGGTGGAGAGGGAAGACAAAACTTTGTTCATGTCCCAAAAGGATGCTCTATAGCAGGAGTCGGGTTCAGCATACTTGATAAGCACCTGACATAATATGAAGCTCCTCATCTTTTAGGAATCTTTTATGCATAGACTGTATTTTCTTAACAGATTTTAATCGGGTACAGTATGTGAGGCAAGAACGCACACTAAAGCAGAGATAAATCAAAACACAAGAAGCTACCCACGAAAATAAGTCAACTTGAGCAATAACAGAGATCCCCTGGCATAAATACTATGTATCAAAGCAGCCTAACAATCACAGCGAAAGAGGCTGCATGTTTAATGTTACGCAGCTGGTGCAAAGGCTTCTCCAGTATCAGCCATGCTGTTAAAAATCTTAACATTGTTGAGCAAAAGGAGCAAAAGCTTTGTGAAAAAAACGTCCTTGCCTGGTATGGAACACGCCAGTGGGAAGATGTGAAAGAAGTATACTGTGCATTCAGCTGCTGTTTGAGCTGCCAAAAAAGCATCCACGTTAGCCAGATACCACCCAGCAAATACAATGAGTAGATTGACTTTCTGGGAGGAAATATCTGACAAAGATGCATGGAATAGAAGACAAAGAACGAAGTATTTCATTTTGATAGAAATGTGTTTGCCATACTTACTCAGAGTAGGTCTACGTGTTTGGAATGGACTGGAATGATCCAGTAATTTCAATACAGAGTGCCTGAATAGCTTGATACATTTCAAGATGAATAAGAATCATTGACTCTTCGGCTGTAAGCCAAGAGACTTAATTTGGTGATGAAGGCATCTGATCTGATGAGGACAAATGAGTTCTGTCTAACAATGCTGTTTGCTGTGTTTGTGCCGGTTTCCCTGTTTCCCACGACTTACTCTTTTATCTTTACCTATTTAAGAACACCGTAATTTCCTTTTTTCCCTCAGCCTCATAATACAGCATAAAAATGACTTTTACGGGAAACACTCAAACCACAGACATGTACAAATTATACTATAAAAGCCGGTATAATCTGGCACATCTGTCTGGTTATTTGAAAGGCCGTTTTACAGGTGAAAGACAGTTCAAACTCTTTGAAACCACCGGAAACCCGAAGGCAGAAGCAGCGTTGCAGACCCTGCCTTTTCACCAGCGCACGCAGACTGGCCGCTTCTCAATACGCCGGGCTTCAGCCGGACTTCCCCGGAGGGGTTTCCTCGGCAGGCGTTAGCTGCCGCCGGTACGCCCCGCAGGCCTCCAGCGCCGCCCCGGCCGCAGTT